CCCAAAGCTCTGCATGTTTAACAGGCTGGAAAAAAAAAAAAAAAAGATTCCAAATATAAAATACAAATTTGCTTAACGCTCATAAAAATGTTTCCACTGGAGGGATTAAAATAGGAATCAGCAAAAACAGGGGAAAAAGGAGAGAGGAGGGAGGGGTGGCAGAGGGGGAGGGGGGGTCACTTCAATCACTGCTTTGACTGCATGTTTATATTATCCAGAGCAGAGTGAGTGACTAGGAGCTGGACTTCACCAAAACCTGCTTCACACTAATGCCTGCATTTTCCATTTCTTTAATCAAATGCAAAGTTCTCTGTCCTCTGTAGTAAATATATTCCGAGACGGTGTATGACCAACGATTTCAAAAAGCAATAATGCAAAGAAATGGATAAACTCCGCCACCGCTGTCTCTCGCTTTCACACATACATATACACACATGGGATGTTCTGGAAAAAGAAACTGTGTCGTCTAGTAAAATTCCATCAGCATACACTCAAAAAAACCCATAAAAACCTTTTCAATCTATATGTTAATGCCACGAATTAAAATTTAATAACAAGAGATATTGAAAAGCAGTGTTGAATTATACAAAAATAAATCCTGAAAGATCAGGCCCCTAAAATTAGAAATTCAGGGCTGCATCCGGACTGCTGCTAAACCCTTGTAGGCTGGCAGATTAAATTTTTGATGAAAATCAAAATTACACTGCACGCTGACGCAGTCGCAGCAAACCTGGCACTATTGTGATTTATGGATTCATTAAACCCGCGGGAGTTTCCCCCCCACCCCCCTCCTCTTTTCACTCAAAGAAATGAGATTTGCTTTGGTGAAAATTTGTATTTTCAGAAAAGCTACTCAGGCTCTGCTCTCCCCCTAAAAAGGGCGGAGAAAAAAAAAAAAAAAAAAAAGCTTGTGTGTATATATCCACAGCACGTAAACAGGCCTAATTTTCATTGCTGCAGCAACTGAACATCCATATGCATTATTCATGAAAGCAATAAGGTTCATTTTTACAAAGGAAGAAAAAAAAATGTGCGGAATGTACAGAATTTTTTAATGCAGCACTCCCCGCCCTTAAAAACCTATCCCCCTGAGACTAATTTAACTCAAGCCATTTTTCAGACATTTCCAACATGCCACTATGGAAATAAACAGAACATTCGGCTTAACAGTATGCATGTTATTTTTCCCCCCCACATATTTAAGAATAAATCTGGAATCATGCATTTGCAAAAAAGAAAAACACAAACTCTTTTTGTTGTTGTTGTTGTTTTCCTGAAACGGATACCTGATCCATCTGCACCAACTTTATGACAATGTGAGCAGCAACTATGTTTCAAAACCTCTACCCTGAGGCCAGTGATTTAATCTTCCACCATCTTGTGTTTCTCAGAGACCAAAGAGAAGTTTTACCTCTTCATCTAGTGACTTCACTGATCCCAGTCTAAGCTTGGCTTTTCCTCATATAAGTATCAACAAGCAGGAATGCTGTTTACCTTTCAACTTAAAGGTGCATTTTTAAGTGAAGAATGTTAAGATTTCCATTTTAAAAAGGCAGAACTTACAAAAGAAGTCCTTCATGTGCAGATCTTTACAAAAAAAAAATTGTGTTGTTGTTTTTTCGCATTCTGTAAACATCCATATAGACCCCAGATCTCAGCAGGACTCTGGAGAACATTACTGCACTGAGGAGGTAATTCAGCTATTTGACTGAAATGTGTTGGACCAGGGAGAAGACCTGTAAGAGTTGCAGAACACCAGCCCTTGAGGACTGGGATTGCCCACCAATATTCTAAACTGACTTTAATTTTATATTGTTTCTAAACCACATTAGGTCCAATAAGGCGCTTTTCCACTAGACCTCCTCCAACCGGTTCGGTCCCGATCCGCCAGATTAATTTTCCTAATTTTCCATTAGCAGATCTGGTCGAGCTCTGCGTGTCTGTTTTAAGATTTTCACACCTGCTTCAGGGGTAGTACTAGCCGAGAACTGCGTTGAAGCAGTCTGATTGGCTGCATCCGTTGACTGGCTCGCACGGCAAACTCAAAACTATAGTTTAGCTATGCACCGCGGACATGCGGTCTGTTGTCAGAGAACTGCTCAGTACGGAGAAGCGTAAATATGAGTTTAAACAAGAGCAGCGCTAGGAACACATGCTTTAAGTTTTGGAGAGGTACGACAGTGATTTAGCAAACCTGCTAGCAGCTTGTCTATCTGAAGAACGGGCAGCAATAAAGAAAAGACAAACGCTGAAGCTGTGGTCAGCTGTAGTTTTGCGCCGATGGTGTGAAACACCGAAACAACATAATATCAACTTGGTGTGATGTGAATTTTTTTTTTTTTTTGGATTTTTTTTTTTTTTTCATGTGTGGCTATTGGTTTACATCTTTACCTAAATCCAAAAGGTAGAAAATTTCAAAACATAAAATAAAGTGCCAGAATATACATATATTTGTATTGCAAAATAATCTGCATCATCAGCAATAAACTTCTCTAAGACAAAATTAAATATCTAGGTTTATTTGAGTCCATCAGAACCACAACCTTCTCCATTGATGAGTGTTGTCGTAAACATCAGCAAAGACCTAACCACAGCTGCTGCCGCTCATGGCCCGCCCACTGTAGTGAGGAACAGGCCGTATAATGGAAAAGCTCACTACCTGGGATAGAACCAAACCAGACATTAACTGGTTAGTGCGCAATTTCCCAGTGGAAAAGCACCTTTAGATCTTCTCAACAAGCGCGCTTGAAAATTCTCACTCAAACGTGCATAAAACTTTTACATGAATCTGAATATGCTGCATTTAGTTTGAAGAAGACATCTTTTCTACTAGTGTTTTCAGGAAATGATTGGGTCTCACTAACAGCTGTCTGGTTCTTTTTGGTAAAATACAGTAACTGTCCAGCACCGTTCTATACTTTTACCTATAGAAAAAGCATTGGATTATTCTCTGCAAATGATTGTGATGCCACAAATAACAGCGGAAGAGACTAGCACAGCACAATACAAGAAAATATTACGAGTGATAAAAGCTGCGATGACTATATCAGTTACAATATACGCCTTTTTCATCCATCTAATTTTATCTCATTGGTGCTTCAATCACTCTGTGACCCTTAGCTTACTGGGCAATGCAACTTGCATCTGGTGTGAGCATCTGCTGTTGTCACACTACCTAATTTTAAATTAATGTAAAAAAAAAAAAATCAAGTTCCTCAAACTTAAAATGTTTTAGCCGACAATTACTGCATTCAAAAAAGTCCTTTGCGATATTGTAGATGACATGGTGGTATATTTGTGTCATGCACTCATTACTGGTAAGGGAATTAAAAAGAGGTACGATGACAGTACAAGCAACAACAACTACCAACATATTTTCCTTACTTTTTTTTTTTGCTTGTTAGATATTGTTTGATCATTTTGCCATTGCAATCATTTTCGCTATTTACATTAATTGCTAAAGAGCACCCAAAGACTCCACACTTGCAACACCCAATGAAGTACTGAACTCAACTTTAGGAATCGCTGTAATAGTACACCATCCTCCCAATTGTATTATAAAAAAACTTCTGTGTAGATTCATATGCCTTAGAGTTAAGCTAGCCCAACTGATATAATACAGATAGTTTACTAATTATCAAAACTCTTGTTTTTCTCTTATGCATCTAAACTTTAATTCGCCAAAGTTTACTTGGTTTTATTCTCAAGAGTTTAATGACCTACTACTTGTTTTTATAAGCATACGTCACATAAACATTCTTATCACTAACTCTATTGAACTCATGAATGACAGTGGTTGCCTCTTTGCAGTTCCACAGTCAAACAAGAACTCTCGCATTTTGATTAGACTTTTAAAGCAAAGGTCAGAATTTACACTCAGATTTTGCATACCGACCATACATTTTTCTCCACAAGCTCTCGGAACTGAATGAATAAAGATTTTTGAAGGTCAGCATTAAAATCACCCACAGAAAAAAAAATGGCCTCTTGCAGTTTCCCCCCTCACATTAAAATAAAAAGCAAGCCGTGCAAGATGGGAAAACTGTTTGGCGTCTGCAGGATTAATATAAACAGTACAGGCACTGGTTGTGATTGTTTTTCCTGCCCTCAAATTATGCTGACATGTTCCTTTCTTCTTCCAGTGCTATAAAGTTCACTTCAGATACATTTTTCCCCTGTCTACACAGCTTCAATCTTTGCAAATAAATTCCATTGGCATGAAATGCAAATATTACAGACTTATAACTGAGCAAGTAGTTATGGTTTTCTACTTGTAGAAGCCAAAGATCTGAAAGATTAGGAAGCTTTCAGGATTAGGAAATTCATATGAAAATAACTGAAAGGGCTAATTTATTTTTTTTTTCACACAAAAAATGAGAGCATTACAAAACATTATAATAATATTATTCCACAATAATAATATTATTTCATAATAATAATGATAATAATGAAATGTAAAATTGATTATTATTAATAAGTCGCACAACCAGTCTCGTTACATTTTCTAATTTTCTAAAAAATGACTGCCTACAGGTGGCGCCACTGGCGCATTGATTTTTAAACCCTATATTTCTTTAAAAACACATTTCGAAACTGTTTTTTTTTTTTTTTAAATCAGGACGCTTTCGTCTTCTTCTCATTTATCCACGACAAACGATGAGACATCAAAACACACAGCGGTGATAGCAGTAGTGTTGTTTGACGGCAAGAAAGGCAACTCTAGAGCTCTGCTCAAATTTGCAGGAAAATTCACAAAACATGGCTGCAGGAGGTTTTTGTGTTTCAGATTGTTCCTCCCCTCATCGTCCTTCATGTTGCCACTCTCGCCTGGTCCGGCTTGCTCCATCGTAATAACGGCGTTTTTACCTGGGCGGACGTGTGCGCAAACTAGCTGCACAAACGACACGGCGGCAGTTTCACTGCAACTTCATTACTAAAAATTTTACCCCTCCAAAAAAATAACATCAACAGATTATTCAAATTGCTAAAAAGCCATTTACCTGGTTGTAGAGGCGAACAGTAGTGCAAAGAGGCTGCCTGTGCTCGTTTGTCGTGTAAAAAGAGGGGGGTAAAACTTGATATCCGCAACAAAAATTTCTGAAATTTAAGATTTTTTAAATCTGAAAAAAAAACGAAAACAGTGGTTTGACATACCTCTAAATGCAATGCAGCTCATGCGAAACAGGCTACTGCTCCAGAAAATCCTCCCTCCCCGACCAGAGGTGACGGCACAAAAACTGCTTCCTCAAAAAAAAATTTCTGAATTAGTTATGAGAAATTCCAAATGATAAAAATTTCACCATAGCGGTTTTTCCCTTTCTTGCGACCCGCTACGTTACATTTTAGTAAAGCGTGATGGCGTATTTGAGTAATGAATTCGAGGGGTTTGACGGCTTCGTCGAGCCGTTCCGTCTGTGCTGTGCACAGGGGCTTAGTGTTGCGGTTCCTCCTGTGGAAATTTTCGTCCGCCATATACAAGGGCAGATTCTGAAATTGCAGCGCCGGCCTGAATATTAGCCTGCAAGAAAAAAAAAAAAAAAAGAAAAGAAAAAAAAGTCTGGGATGGAGACAGAAAAAAATAGGTTGGCCAACTGTGAAGCTGCACAGGGGGGAAAAGGGGACTAGAAATTGCGCAGAGGATAAAACCCGAACAAAAACGAACAGATGGAAGTTTATTAGAAATCTACGGCAAGTTGAAAATAAATAGTCAATCTGATACAGTTTTCATGTAATGCTATGTAATCCAAATCTAAAAAAAACATAACTGTACATTGAGTTAACACCATGTAAGCGAGCCGTGAGACAAATGTATTGTTTTATGATGTGTGTTTGCTCTTAAAGCCTAATTTGACAAAAAGTGACAATCAACTGTCACCTTTTAGGTATAATTGCTTATATATGTAAACCAAACTGCACAAGTTTGGCTTACTTTTTTTTCAGTGCATGTTTTTGTTGGCCAACAAATTCTCTTTTCAAAATCACATTCTTGAAGAATTTACAATTTTTTGTTTGTTTGTTTGTTTGTTTGTTTGTTTGTTGTTTGGAGACCAACAAGTTTTGAACTTGAGTATTGATCTAACCTAAAATATATTTACAGTATTTATTTCTTAGGAATTAGATTTAACGCAGAGTCTTAAGAGGTATGATATAGCGTTGTAAGTATATTGTTTCTTATATTCAGGTAAATTACGGATAATTATTTGCTGCAGATTTAATACAGATTTTATGTAATAGTATGAATATAATAGTAATAATAACTACAAATATTACTTTTTAAAATCTGAATTTACAGATCAATGCAAATGTAAATAATACATAAATAGTAACATTGCAGTATTATTATGGCAATTGTTTTATCACTTGCAAAAAATGCTTTCTCAGATGCCGAGTTAATCTAAGTTGTTTTTTCTGGGAGGATTGTTTTCCCGTACTTTTAGATTTTGTTTGCTCACTGATGTGCTTTGCCATAGTCACAATAAGAAACAAAACATGACAAATAAACATTATAAACGCAGCCAAGCTCATATATAAAGGATAATAAATGAAAATAATCTATTAAGTGTGCCCTTTATACGAAAATGAAAAAGCACTTTATCAAGCAGAGTTTTGAAAATTGTGGAGGAGATAAAAGCAGATAGCGTGTAGGGCTATTAATGTTGCTCAGAATGATGTGGGCGTAAGTGATTATTATGGCTTGTTACTTCGCGTTTTATTTTTCTGCATCCGCTCTGAAATGATTATAGCAACTCTTACTTCTGAAAATCTATGCAATGTTGACGTATGTGTTTCCACTTTGTTATGAAAAATAGTCGATTGAATCATTTATCTTCATTGCTCTTTCTGCTATTATCGGAATGTTTTTTTTTAATGTTTTGTTATGTGCCATCATTTTTTAGTATTTATATTTTATACGATTGCATCGATTTTTATTATTATTATTATTATTATTATTTCTTCAGTTAAAATATACCATCTGCTTATGCCCAACGTTTGACGCAGTCACTATTTGTGTCCAGCAGAGGGCAGGAGCACACAAATTTAGATGGTTGCTTGCCAGTGATCCCAGCTATTACAAACAGTCTTTTTTGCTCTCTACCACCCCCTGCTGCTTTTTCCAAAAAATATATTTTCAATCCTGTTCCTTCAAACCAGCTACTAGATATTTTGACCTAAAATAAAATGCTATCCTATAACGTCATCAAACTGTCATAATGAACATTTTACTGCTTGCTTTCTGTGTTGTTAATCTGCAAGACTATTTAAATGCTTCTGATTGAAAGTGTTGCATGGAGGCTTATTTTTATAAAAAGAGATTAGGTTGCTCGAGATTTTTGCTGTAGAAATTTGAAGGTAGTTCAAGATATCAATACACAGTTCGTGTGGCAAACTGTGTATCATTCTCATTTCCTTTTATATTTATCCACTACTTGATATTGGTGTGCATTGCATGAAATCTTGATAAAATATTATGAAGCTTAGGTGTAACAAAATGTGAAAAAAATAAAGAATACCACTACAAAGCTGCTTATTTTGATCAACCCTAAAACATGAGAGAGAATTCAGGTATTCATTGTTTTCTGAATATTGTTAAAATGTCTAGCAGCTTCAAAATTTGGAATGAGCAGATGTCACTGTGTTGCTATATATAAAAAAAAACCTATCTCCTCTCCCTTTTTTCCAGAGCTCAAGGTTGTCTTGACCTCCTCCCAGCCTAGTTTTTGAAAAATCTTCCTAGAAGCAGCAGAGGAACCAACAGGTGAGGGGGGCTGACAACAACTGGGCTATTTTTTCTTTACGACCTACTTTGGTTTGAGAGCCACTGTACCCTGGCAGGATGCTCAAGAGCTTTTACATAAATTAGGTGATAATTCCCCAAACAATTCAGGTCTTGTAAAGTTTGACAAAAATAACTGATTGGAAGATCACAACAACTTACAAAAGATCTCCTTTTGTGGCACATAGGGATTTTTTTAACATATAAAAGCTTCTAAGAAATCTATATTTTCATTGCTTTTAATTTCTCCATTGTCTCCAATAATTGATTTCAGTCTACAGCCATTTCATGATGAAAGAAAATCACATTTTAATGTGCACCTGTCAATCATTTTAAATACATTTTATAGAATTTTGCACATTTTGAATGTCTAAAGTGAGGCCTATCTATATAACTTTTTAGCAGACCTTTATCAGACAAAAAGCGATCACAACTGATAGCAGTAAAGCACGATAATTCTTAGCTAGCACTCTTGGTGGTTTTGTTTCTTGCTTTCGTACGATCACAATCATACAATGGCTAATTTTGGCCAATTTATAACAAATATTGTTTTATAACTTTATGACTCAAGTTGTGCTGCAGCTTTAGGGTGTGTAAACATTGCACAGTGAAGTTATTTATTTAGGGTAAATATTTCCTACCTCTTAAGAACATTCCACATTGCAGTCAGTATGTTGGACAACGGTTAATAATTTTTTAAACTTAATAAACTGAAAGCATCGAGATAAAACTAAACGTTTGCTCATGTTGGGACCAAAGTTATCCTTTTGGCCTTAATTGTATGTAATATTTGACACAGTAGCACCAGACTCTGGAGTTACCACTAGCCCACCTTGTGAGGTATAGTGCCTTTCAAAAGTGTTCATACTCCCTGAAATTTTACACATTTTCATATTAGAGCCTCAACTTCAGTGTACTTCATTTTTTTGTGATAAAATAACTCAAAGCAGTACACAAATGTAGGTTGGAAAGATGTGTTTATCTTCACTGTGCTAAAACAAAAATCTGGAAATGTTGTAAACATTTTTATGTATTTGTAGGTATAGTGTGAAAAAGTTAAATTTTGTGTCACTCATTTGAGAAAGCGAAACTAATACATGTATATTAGGTAGACTTATTTCACATAGAGTGTGAACTTTCACATCACTGACTGTGGAATTGTCACACTGGTCTTCAAGCAAAGTGCATCCTGTGTCTCTCAACTCTTCCTCCAGGGTCTGGGGCCTTGATTTCCAAATTAAATTCAAGCTTCACTTGAATTTAATTTCAAGTGATTCAAGTTTAATTTAAGTACTCAGCAACAGTTCAGTTATTTCTGTTCCAGGTAAGTCATTTCTAACTTTGGCTCTGGTTCAGGAGTGGCTTGATACGAGGGATGTGACATTTGCAACCCAAGTATAGGATTCATCTGTGCGTAGTGACTCTTGATGTGTTGACTCCAGCCTCAGTCCACTCCTTGAGTCGCTCCCACAAATTCTTAAATTGATTTTTCTTAACAGTTCTCCTTGTTGCTGAAACAACTTTTTCTACCTCACTTTTTCCTTCCACTCAACCTTGTAATAGTATGCTTGGATTCAGCACTCTGTGAACAACCAGCTTCTATAGTAATGACCTTTTGTGGTTTTAAACTTTATTTTTGCTACTGAGAAATTGAACGGGAGATTCAAGCCTCAGGGGATTTGTGAAGGTTAGCAAATAGCAAAATATGTCACTGAAATATGCTGCTCAATGGTGATATAACTGCACTACCATAAAACGTCAATTCCTTACAAAGAGAAACACAAAAGAACCTCAGTCAATTTCAAGGATTATGCAAAGTCGTAAAACCACACCAACATCTTAGCACCTGAAGGCAGCAATGACGTCCATATAGACAATAGGCACACATACACATTGTTTGTTTTTTTTAAGATGGACATATTAAATCTGATAACCATGTTTAAGCTAAACACAAAGATGACGTTTATTATTTTAGCACATGCTATAACAGATCAGCAAACACAGTGATGCAACCTCTGACTAATCTCTGTTACCAGTTCAAATGTGACAGGATTGAGTGCAACTGTCCATTCCAATGAAGAGGATCCTCCTGTTGGTCCAGGAAAACAGTGATTGCTGGTTGACCTCAGAGAAGTAAAAGTAGGCAGTGATCCAGGCTGTTGTTTGTTGACCTTGACACCTGATTGCACGTTTTGACAAATTCAACCAAAATTCTTCCATGTCTGTGTAGGAGGGAAAACAGATTGGTCTCATTGCTAAAAAAAAATGACTACTAAAACACATATAAAGTTATTTTGTGACTAATTTAGAAGATGTGGTTTTAAGGTTTTTTCATATGGAGTCATTTTAAAGGATCATGTGTTTAAGGTTCGAGCAGCTCCAAAGAGAGGCTCTGCCTCGGTATGGTTGAATGTTTTACTTTTGGCTGAACTCATCGCAATCAGTGTACACAGTGAGTCTTGTTCTAGTCATCTTTTATTAAGCAGAATGTTTTGTTTTACAGTGAGGAAGGCGGGAGTCTAGCTTTAGAAGGCATCTGACCCACGCTTCAAACTCAGTACCTGTTTGCTCTAAGGAAAAACTTTGGGAAGGTTAAATTTAGTCGGCTAAAGAAAATCAAACGGTTCATTCTCTAACGTGAGAAATCCCTTCAGGTAGTCAAGTTTCTTGTTTGTTCAGATCTTCTTAGTAATTTCCATAGTATGATTACTAATTAACTATCAATACTTTTGTGTCTAGAGGCAATCTAATCATTGAGTTCACAACTGAAGTTTATTA